TGAAAATAATATATATAATAAATTGATAGTTTCGTAGGTACGGTTATATGTATGTGCAGACGGTCCTTGTTTGTGTGATGAACTTCTTTGATAATAATTAATGAATCTGAATACCTTAATATTTTTTTCATCTTCGCTTGTCCCTGCAGAAATACGCTAATGCTTCTACCGTTATATCTTACCTAATTTATATATATTATATTATAATATTATGTTTATTGCATTTTGCGGTAATAATATAATTATTATGCATTAATGACTACATCGGTTTTTCTTATTCATTATCTATTAGATTAGGTAGTCTATCAGGAAATTCGCATCGTAGGCATCAAAGATCATCATTAAATAGAGAAGCAATTTTATTTCTAAAAAAATTTTCTACTTCCTCTAAAACGAAGTTAAAGTTTTAATTGACTATTCCATCTTTCAATTCGTATGGTCCTTTTTATAATTATTCCGTAAATACAAATAGAGCTTAAAATTTCATTAAATTGTAAAAAAATGTAAAAAAATGTATATGACATTATATTACTTCGTATCAAATGTTTATGTATCAAAAACACATTAAATCAAATTACTTGGTCAAAGTTCTGAATCATTCTATGGTGACAACATAATGTTTAAAACTTCATAAAGTTTTCTTAGTGTGGCACTAAAAAGTCTCTTCAACACTCAAATATCTAACGACTAAAATGGCAATAAAGAAACACTTCATGCGTGCAGCTGCCATATGTACTTTAAATCTGCCATAGGTTGGCCAATGTAGAGACTTAACTAGACTTGATAAATGCTTTTAATTACCGTAAATACAACAAAGTTATATATACGAAAACAACAACAAAACAGGAGCAAATGAACTCAAAATCATGTTTGTCATGCAAATCCCAAGGTAAATCTCTTGCAGCAAGAAGCCCAATGGACTTTGCATGCGATTCCGAATGCAAATGAAAATGCAGTTTTGCAATAAGTTTTGGACTTATTTTTGCATTTAAATGGATTTAACGATGTCTTCACGGGTAATGTAATCAATCTTCATGACGTACGCATATGTAAATGTGCACAAATACTCAAACTTCGCAGTGGTGCGGCAATGCAATAGTGAACACCAACCAACGATCTTGTATGCTCAGCCAATTGCGTTCTGCATTTGCATAATCGGCATTAAGTAATCTGCGTTTCCTAAGTATCTGCTCCTTATCAAGATTGCACGGATAATATTACCAGCATTTTTCAATTCGAAATGTCGAAATCTGCATATGGTCAGGTCTTTATCTTTTACTTAAGACAACTTATTACAATATTCTCGCTTAAACGATATAAATTATTTTTATTTAGAGTATTTGGCAACATTTCGAACATTTAAATTTGAACAGTCTTTCAAATGCTATTTAAAAAAAAAAAACATCTGTATGAGATTCCACAATAAATAATGAAGTTAGTTGCTTCATTTTACGATTTTTAGATGTTGTCTTTGCCAAACTATAAATGACTATCAGTAAGGTGGAATGTTCCGCACATCTGTAGTGTTCTGAGCTTTATTAGATGGCTCTAGATTTACTCAAATTAGTGTCATAGAGAAAATTTATGCTGGCTTCTAAAGTCATGTATAGTGTTTGTGAAAGTATTATAATTTAATTTAAAGATTAATAATAAACTTTTCTTAAGAAATGTGACTTATATCAATTAACTGCTTTCACAAATAACTTAATATTTTAGTTACTTTTAGGTCACTAAAGTCAGAAGATATTTATTTTTTTGAAGAAGAAAACATCCATAAAATGTTTCTACTCAAATATATTTATTCTACTTTAATATTTATTTTAAATATTAAAAAATACACAGAACTCTACAGGACTCTGCAGAAACTCCCCAGCTATCAAAGAGTAAAACTGCCCAGATGCACTAACTCGGAAAAGGCTCAAAATATAAATTGAGTTTAGTTTTAGTCTTTCTTAAAATTACTCAACCATCAAATAAAACGAAATAATGGTAATAACTGCTATAGAATATATAAATAATTAGTATATAACTATATATATATTTCTATAACAGTATTACAAACTGGAACAATATGTAAAAGTTGATCATAATTAATGGAACGAAACATCTTTATTTATTGTAACTTTTCTTATTACCATATATATTTTTTTAGGTGAAATGCTAAAACGTTTTAATTTTAAAATATAAAAGTATAATATATTGTATAAATACCTGGAAATAGTAATAATATCACTAGAATATACAGATAACGATAACTTTAGTTCTCCAATGATCTCTGTGGTGAAATTTTCATCTAACCATGTGCTCCTAGAATATTAACTGGAATATTGAGATATCGACAACTTTAGTTCTCCAATTATCTCGGTATCCAATCATTTGTTGAAATTTTCATCTAACCATGCGCTCCTGTCTGTTAATTATTTTTAGCTCTTAAAATGATTTATCGCTTACACAAAAAAAAATAGGGATTATATCCAGAGATATCAATATATGTTTTACATATTTTTGTGCTATCATATAAAATCCGAAAAGACTTACAATTAGTTATACATCATATTATATATCTTATAAAACAGATTCAGAACAGTTATAACTTTCTTAGTTTATGTTATCTTACTAACCCACCAAAAATACAAAATAATAAAATCGTTACAGAGTTAATATCCGACCAATGTTTGTGTTTATGTTGGCTGTGCTTTATAAGGCCACTACTCCAAACTACACTTAATATGTAATGGACCAGGTTTATGGATTTTATTTGCAATTAAAGTTTGAGTCACAGGTAACAATGATTGTCTTAATTAGGTGTTAGTAAGCCCAAAAATTCTAGGATTTATTTTTGAATATACATATTAATAAAAATTTATTGCAAGAAGTAGGTTAAAAAATTTCAAGGTTTTAAAAGTATGCATTCCTAACACATTTTTATTTTTTTTTTATTTTAATCTCTAAGTTTAGGAAATAATTTTTGTAGATATTATAATAGCTTCCTAATTGATTAGTGGTACATTGAATAAATTCATTTGCGGATATTAATGATATTAAAACATTTTTTAATGAATTTTAAGAAGCTAATTAAGAAACAATTTATGACATTTAATTTTTATTATGTATGGCTTTAATCTTAATTTTGTCAGTAGGAGTCATTTAAGTACTTAAAGTTTTGCATAATTAAATCGAGCCAAAATGTGATAATAATTAAGCCAGAAAGTAATTTAAAACGCTTTTGATAACTTTGAATATGTTATATATGGAGCAGTATTATAAACCACAACATGATATTTTATTGTTTTAACGATTAAATTATATTTAATGACTTTTTAATTTAAACTATTTGTTTGTTAAAAATATATAAAATTACAATAAAATATGGAAGAAAAAAAATATAAACTTAATTACAAAAAAAATTCTATAAAATACTTTACCCACCTTTTTATCTGATGATGAATAATTAACATTCTTAACAAATAAAATATTTTGGGAACAGATATGTGCTTGATTGGTTTGCTTTGATAACCCGTTTTTGGTTTTCGACCTGACATCGACCGAAGACACGATCTTCTGCTGATCTTCTTCCTTTTTGCAGGAGTATCGTCTTCTAACCTTAAGACCGAGAAATCGCTAGATATTAATTCGTTGAAAAATTACGATATCGGTTCAATACGTCTAAGAAACCAAAAATCTTATGAATAAATTATATGTCAAAAGAAAAAGAAATAAGAAATTATGGAAAAAAGGCATTTAGTTTAAAATCGCTTCTTAACAGATGATGTATATACTTTGATTGCGTATGTTAATATTAACATAAATATATTATATATATTTTTATACCAATAAATGTATTTACAGACTATATATTTATTGTCAACGCAATTTTTCATAAATATAAATATATTTTATTATTTAATTAAATGTCTTCGTTTTTAAATTATAATTAAAAAAACTGTACTGAAGTGAAAACATGCGAGTATATAAAACTATATATAATAAATTAATTTTATTATTTTTAATTTATATTTTATATTGTTTTATTTTATATATTCTTATTCGAAATTTTTTCTTTCCACTTAAGTAACTATGTAAGTCATTTTATTCGCATTTCTTTGCATTTGACCCATATAATTCTAAATTTGTCCCCAAAGTCTAAGCTATCTTCTAGTTAAGGAGGTTAAATGTGTATCAAGCATACTAAAATTAATTTAAAAAAAGAAAATAAATGCATATTCATGAATGCTATAGGCAATTCAATTGACCTATTAAGAGTTTTTTTTTCACTTTTTAGATTTTGTTAAAAATCTTAAATGACAGAATCACGAATTGCTATAACATTTTTAATCACAAGTCGAAGTCACGTTGCTTTTGTTGTTTTCTGCACTATTTAGCCTTGTATTATATTCATTCCTAAATTAGTATATATTTCAGTTGTAATTTAAGTAAATATATTAGTTTTTCTTGACTTTATTTTTAATATTGAATAAAGTTATTATATGAGATTACAAATTACAAAAATAAAAATTAAAATCGGAATATATGACTGTAGTTGACGGCACGATAAATACATAATAGTTCATATGAAAATATATTTTCACCTATACAAATACGAGTTCATGTACATATAAATACATATATAATAATAATGTATATATATATAAATGTAATTAATATATATAATATATATATATATATATATATTATATACAATAATACCATATTTATATTTAAGCCGTAGTCTATGGTGTGACTAAGGAGTTGGTTTTCAAATAACTTGCTATTTATTTTAAGGTAGTCACACCTATATAACTTATTATTCGATCAACATTATATATGTATCAAATTTTACTTTCTTTCAATAGATTTTCTCTGATTAATAAAGTTATGCACTATATATGACTTGCTAAACTAACCATGTTTGAAAGCATAGCAATCCATTTTTTAAATTTGACTTAATAATATTTTTATAAAACTATTAAATTTTATATTAATAGAAATTATTGTAGGAAATTACTCTTATATTGTACGAAAAGAGATAATTCTATTTTTTGAATGTCAAATATTATATATATATTTTGTATCAATAGTCTATTGATCTATTGTCTATTGAAACTTTAAGATTAAGTCCATTCCTTTATACTATCATTTGGCGTTAATTTTCGAAGTGAGTAGAAGAGGTTTTATTTTTTATGTAATATTTTAATTGTTTTAATTGTTTAATCAAATCATAAGGAATGGCTAGAAATATATATGATAATGAGGAAAATTATGAATCGGAGGAAAAAGATGAAAACGAAGAATATTTGAGAAAGTTCAGTTCAGTCAAGGCACGTTTAGAACGTAACTTTGAGAAAATGAAACGAATGCAATATGATACCTTGATAAACTCTATGTCCGAAGAGCATGAACGTGAAGCAGCCTTTCGTGATTACTTAATAAGTATACAGTTACCAAGGGAAGATGAGGATTCTATGGATGACACAGATTTCTTAATGGAAAAGTTAGCTTTTGATGGAGGCATTGACCCATTTGTAGAAGATGAGGAAAATGTTTTAGGTTGGTTGTTTAAAACATAGCAATGATATGATTATGTATGTTTTTTTTTGTGTTTAAATTTTTTAATCGTAATTGTTAAATAAAGTTTACTTTAATTAATAATTAATAATAGTATATAATATATCATAATAGCTATATATTATAAAAAAATTAGCTAAGTTTTTGTTCAAGTATTTATTCTCAATTATACAAATTCCAGTTAACAGTGAAAATACTAGTTCACAGATATGTCTAAAATATATTAAAGTTGGAGAGTGAACTCTCGTTTTTTAGGTATGGTTGTTAGCGATATTAGAAATAATAAGCTGAGGACTGACTTAGTGCATACTTAAATAATTAATTTTTCTGATTTAATTTATTCTTACTCTTTATACTCTTCTCAGTTTTAAGACCTATTGTCTTACTATAAAATTAACCCTGGATCTTTTTGGCTGGATCTTTGTCAGCTGTTTACAAAATGCGATTTTACCTTTTTGCTCATTCCTTTATGATAATACGCTGTATTCTTGTTTTATTCCCACATATTATATCACAGTACCTTGATTTTTCACTAACAACTTTTATTCCACACTCAATCGGAATTTGAATCTGATTGTTATTGTTTTTGAGTTCGTTGGCAATACCATCCTTTCTGGGAAACAGCCAAAGTTTTTGTGGATATGGATCTCGATTTGATAGCACAGGTCCGTCATTTTGAAAGAGATGAACAGTAGACAATATAGTTCAGTTTAGTTAATGGTTAATAGTTTCGTTTATGTTTTGATAAATTTAACGCCCTAAAACGATGTAATCAGAAGATATATTTGCGACAAATATATTACTTGCAAAAATAATCTTTTACACTCCCATCCGCCCTTTTTCTATATATATTTCGTTTTCTTTTTTTTAAATGCCATATGTATTCTGTTCGCAGAGTTGCATTTTACTATGCTAAGAATTCATTATATAGTCGGTCCTACTATATACATATCCTACTAAGTAGAATGAATTAGAATAGCGGAATGAATGAGAATAGTAGAATTAACTTTAATTCTGGTTTAGGTGAATATAGTCCACTAGATATTAAGCCTATCTGCTCGCATCTCTTTTCCTTGATTACTGGAATGAAGTTTCCACAATGCTGTGGAAATCTTCTCCATTTATTCTTAAGAGGTGGTTTTAGTTGGTTTAAGTCTCACACTGTGTAATTCGATGCTTTCTACCTACTGCAAAAAAAAAGTATATATATTTATATATACTTTAAATGATTCTAAAAAATTTTAGTTCTATATATAAGAGAAAAGTTTACTTAATTATTCCCCTACAATTTGCTTAGATTAGTATGTACTAAAGTGTTTAAAAATAGTTCCAAAGTAGAATTTCTCACGTATGTCAAGAATCTTTCCGAACAAATAATTACAGTTTTTATCCATACATATTTCCACAGATTGTATATATGAATTAATCCAATGCATAATTCTGTTTTAATTGCATAAAACTATTTTAGCTATTTTGAAACTTACAAGAACTAGATTCTTGCAATAAAAGTTTGCTATGATAATTCTGAAGCATGGACTAGTCAACAATTTTGAATGCAAATGCAGCTTACACAGACGCTATTGCGTGCAATTAATTGCTCCACATCGAATCTACCAACATGAAGGAATTCGCCTCATGGAGTTAAATGCACTCATTTACACTACCAAATGTATCCACGACGGTTCAGAACTATGCCAATTCTTTATTGCTGATGCTAAGAACGTGTTAAGATTTTTTGGCTGATTTAATTTTAATTACCTTCGAATGTATTTACGGCCCCAGTGACTGAATCTGTGGTCGAATGATATTTTTACTTCTGGTAATTTTAGCAATCGATGCAGTAAGAAAAAAGTGCTTTGCAAATATAAAGTGAAAGGAAAATGAAGTTATTAACAGCGGCACAAGTGCAATTTGTTTCTTATCAAAACGCATTAATCTTTCTCTCGAATTACTTAAACGTTGCTTAACTTTATTGGCAGCAAAAAAAATAAATATTTTTCTCATTATAGCCAACACAGACGTAATCATTTGAGATACTTTTCACTTCCCGCAACAAAACAAAGCCTAGCAGAAAACCAACTAAGTTTATCTCACTTCATTTACTGATAATGAAGTGCAATTTATTTTTATGTCTTTATTTCAATATTTTTGCTGTAAGAAATTCAATTGAAAGGAGTTTTCATCAATTTTATTGTCCCAATTAAATTTTTTTTTTTGCTTTTTTTGAAATTTATTTGTAAATATAATGTACGGATAGCTATAATTTTAAGTCAAAAACTGTTTTATAATAATCCTTCACTTGCCACTTAAGTAGGTAGTACTTTTATTTATAATCTCTGAAACGATGTGATGCAACAAATTATTTTTTTGACTAAATTAGATGTTAAGATAAAAAACAACGAAATCATCTAATAAAAGGTTTACTTATAATAGTAATAAGATTTTATTATAGATCGCATTTGACACTCTCTTTTAAAACTTGGAAATATTGTTATTCCATACCTGCAATATTATAGGCCTAGCCAAGGAAGATATATAGCCTCTGCCTAAAAGTGTAAACAAAGTAATATTTCATATTGAAGAGGGTATTTCAATGCCAAATATATGAGTTTTTGTATTTGCTTCTAGTTGTAGTTGCTGGTAGTGGATGTTAATCCAAAAAATTGATGTTAATTATTTCAATTCAATAATTTTTTCTTCTTACTTATCTGTTTATATAATGGGAGAATTCTTGATATTGCCTCTACTCCTTGCATACCTACTGCCTACACCGTTGTTTGATATTAATGTGTGTTTAGAGATATATCAACACATCAAAATTTCTATCCAGATAAATGTTCAGCACTGAAGAGAGTTTAGAGATAAATCAGTACCAGTTCGCACATAAAAATCCGCTAAAAAAATATTCCACATAATTTTGACATCGTGGAAAAATTTCTTTATTTGAAATTTTTATAAATTTTTCCTACAAAATGAATGATAGTACTACTACCAGCACAGAAATTTTTTGCGAAAACTGACAGACTTACCAACACCGCGTTATTGAATCTCAAAATGGTTACAGGTTCCTCGGGAAGGTATGCAGATCTGAGGTCAATTATTGCTTAGTCTGATGATGTAAGAAACAATAATGCAGCCAAGGCGTAGAGAGGGATTATGAAGAAACCTCTCAGTTAATAGAGAGTAAAAGTGCTGACTCAATTAGCCTCAACATGACTAGTACCAGCATAGTCTGCACTTTCAATAAATGTCGAGAGAGAGGATAAAAACGAAAATTTTCCAGAAAAAAATCCTTTAGCAAATTAAAACAGAGTTAGGACACGTGTTTGTAAGTCCGTTTCAATATCTTATTAAATTTGTTTGAGTTAATCTATTTTGACCTGATTTTAGCATCTAGATTAAAGACCAATGAAAAAATTAAATCGCTCCATTTGTTATACTTAATTAATATATATGGCTGAGCACTATATTAGGTCTATTCCACGAGCTACTCGTACGTACTTTGAGTAACACTATGTATACACAAGTGCGTTCCACCAGCAAATTTTTATGTAAATGAGAGCATTTGAAAAAGCGTAACATCCCTGTCGAAATTTGAAAGAGCGACACAGACTTTACTCGTACATTTTATTTCAAGTAAAATGTGTGAATCAGCTTTTTTGGTTTGAATTCAAATTTTTGTATTGTTTATTTGCTCAGCACAGACTTTACACAAAGCTGTTCCGTGAAAATCTGTGTAAAGAGCGTAATTTAACACTTTATTTGTGATGTCATCACAGTTTGTACTTTACTTGTATTTTACTTGAGTTTTTCTAGAAGTAGCTTGTGGAACAGACGTACTATGTATTAATTTACATTAACGGTTCACAGAAATATTTAAATATGCCCTCATATGTTGACCAACGAGCTTAAGTTCTTGTATATACTAAACATTTTTCTCATTTCATTCAACAATATGAATACGATTAAATAGCGGTAGAAGAGATAAAAGAAGTAATATGGTAAATTAAATAAGCTAAAAAGTAAGGATATCTTCTATCCCATTTTCTAATTTCTGATTAATTTCTAATATCTGATTTAATGACCGACTTTATTATCAATGGTATAAATAATTGTAAATAATAAATATAAAAAATAATAATAAACAATTAAGAAAAATTTATATTTATATTATTTATTAATAAAGAGGTTTTTCGAACAGTATTGAACTACAACAACAAAATTTTTTTTTATTTTATTTTAATTAATTGAATTTTTAGCTAACCATACAGCTGTTTCGAGTATCGCCAAATAACCATCATCAGTGGTCTTGGAAATAATTCTTGTATTTAATTATTTGTAAGTAATATTTTGAGACTGCAAGTACTAGGAATCGAACTCGTGTCCTGCCAAATTTGTAGCTCAGAGTCATAATTAATATTAATAAATAGGCTTAATTAATTAAAATAGGTAGCTATTTATAAATACTTCTTAATTATATCAGAATATAATTTTATCCAATTTTATTTTTAATTTAACAACTTTTTTTATAGTTTTCTCTACATTTATCACTTAATAGACGCTTGAAGTTCTTATCCCTAATAATGCTGGATTCACTTTTATTTGTCTTATTACTTACTGCTTACTACTGCTTACTGCTGCTAAGAAGCTTGCTTATTTTAATCATATGATTTTGGTACAACTTCATAGAGAAATAAGCGCCATTAATCATGTAAATAAATCAGTGATAAGAATCGTAATTAGTCAAGCAAAAACTATGCACGGCGAATGAACTTGACATATTAATTTGCAACTAAAAATCTTAAAAATAAAAGTAATAAAAGTAATCAGTACGCAGAACGCTTATGAGATATAAGCTTCTTAAGATCTTTATAAATCGATAGTGTGATACCTGCGGATGGAATTTTAGATACGAGCAATAACTTAAATTATTTGCATGAGCCTATGTGAGTGCGGTTAAGGGATTTCAAAGGACACGCAGTACTAATTTGCATCGAAATCTCAAACAAAATTCAATAGCGCAATAAATTCATCA